TCCACTTCTGTTTATCTGAAGAAAACAAAAACATTCATTTGAAAAGATACATACACACCTATATTTACTGTGGCATTGTTTACAACAGTAAGATTATGGAAGCAACCTAAGTGTCCATCAAAAGATGAATGGATAAAGATGGGGAAAATATACATATACAATGGAATATTACTCAGCATAAAAAAAGAATGACATCTTGCCATTTGTGACAACATGGATGGACCTAGAGGGTATTACATTAAGTGAAATAAGTCAGACAGAAAAAGGCAAATACCATATGATTTCACTTACATATGGAATCTTAAAAAAAGGGGAGGAGGCAAACGAACAAAACAAAACAGAAACAGACTCATAAATACAGAGAACAAACTGGGGGTTGCCAGACTGGAGGGGCGTAGGGAATTGACAAACAGGTGAAGAATGAAGAAGATCAAGAGATACAAACTTCCACTTATAAAATAAGTCACAGAGATGAAAAGTACAGCATACAGAGTATAGTAATATTTTAATAACGTTGTAGGATGACAGATGCTGACTACACTTATTGTGAGCACTAACATATATAAATGTCAAATCACTACTGCTTCCTGAAACTAATATTGTATGTCAGTTATACATATTAAATTAAATATATATATATATATATGCGCACACAAACGCACACACACACACATACACACAACAGAATATTATTCAGCCATGAGAAGGAAATCCTGCCATTTACTACAACATGGATGGATCTTGAGGGCATTATACTAAATGACATAAGTCAGACAGAGAAAGACAAATATTATATAATCTCACTACATATGGTATCTGAAAAAAGGCAAGCTAATAGAGTAAAACAGTGGTTGGCAGGTGCCACAAGGGGCTGCAAGGTAGGGGAAATGAGAAGATATTGGTCAAAGGTACAAACTTCAGTTATAAGATGAATAAGTTTTGATGATCTAATGTATAGTATGGTGACTATAGTTAAAAATATCATATTATATATTTGAAAACTGCTACAAGAATAGATCTTAAGGGGCACCTGGGTGGCTCAGTTGGTTAAGCATCCAACTTCAGCTCAGGTCATGATCCCGGAGACCTGGGACTGACCCCATATCAGGCTCCCTGCTTGACTGGGCATCTGCTTCTCCTTCTCCCTCTGCTCCTCCCCTCCGCTCATGCGCACACACGCGCTGTCTCAAATAAATAAAATCTTTAAAAAAAAAAAAAAGAATATATCTTAAATGTTCTCACCACACAGACACAAAAATAGTGATTATGTGAGGTGATAAAGGTGTTAACTAACCCTACTGTGGTAGTCATTTCACAATAGATATCTGTATCAAATCATCACACTGTACACCTTAACCTTACACAATGTTATATGTCAATTGTCTCAATAAAGTGGGAAAAAAAGAAAATGATTAACAGAAAAACAGGTGTCTATAACACACAAATAATGAGCAATTAAAAATGTCCATTAATTTTAAAAATTTATCCACCTATGTAAAACCTATGTTTGCCTTCACTGACTAAACATTAATTTAGAAGAATATCTTTAATTTTTTTAAAGATTTTATTTATTTATTTGACACAGGAGAGAGAGGGAGAGGGAGAAGCAGACTCCCCGCTGAGCAGGGAGCCTGATGCGGGACTCGATCCCAGGACCATGGGATCATGACCTGAGCCTAAGGCAGACGCTTAACGACTGAGCCACCCAGGCATCCCCAGAAGAGTATCATCTTAATTGTAGGTCCTTAAATGAGTTCAAAACCATGCCATATTAGAAACTGTCTCACACATTTATACATTTCTCAGATCTCAACAATAATAGCATTTCCTTGTAGGCTACAGTAAGAATTATGATCTTCACCTTAAGGGTCACAAAAAGTTATTGACACTTTTTAAAGAGAAGAGGATGTGATCAGATTTGCATTATAAAAGGAAGATCCCAGTTGTAGTATGGAGAATTAACTTCTGATATGTGTAGGGGTGGAGGGGGTGCTACAAGGGGTAGATGAATGATGCTATTGTAAAAATTGGTTAAAATATTATTGCAATGGTACATGAGTAGAATCTTGGATAATAATCTATGTCTAGATTATTATTATGCTAGTGTGGTAGCAGCAGGAAAAAAAAAAAGGATGAATTGCAGACTAATTAGAAAGTAAAACTGACAGGACTTGGCTCTGCATAGCGTACAGGGAATGAGCGTGAGGGATCTCTCAAAGACAGAGAGTTGACCCTTAAACAAAATGGTTTGAACTGTGCAAGTCTACCTACATGTGGAATTTTTTTACAGCACAGTAATGTAAATGTATTTTCTCTTCCTTATGATTTTCTTAATAACATTTTCTTTTCTCTACCTTACTGTATTATAAGAATATAGTATATAATACATATAACATACAAAGTATATGTTAATCCATTGTTTATGTTACCAGTAAGGCTTCCAGTCAACAGCAGGCTATTAATAAAGTTTTGGGAGAATCAACAGTTATATGCAGATTTTCAGCTTTTCAGGGTCAGCACCTCTAACCCCCACATTGTTCAAGGGTCAACTGTATACAGTTTATATAGATACATATATACACACACACACACAAAGGAAACGATAAAACTTTATTTTCAAAAGTAAAAAAATTTTTAAATATATAGTATATCAGTTCCTTAGAAAAGATGGCTGAACATAATTCTCTACCTCTCTTTGAATTAATACCCTTTGCAATATGACCTCATTGCTCTTCCCATCAAAAGGTATAGTCTATTCCCTTATTCCCTGAATCTAAGCTGGCTTTTTCACTTGTTTTGCCAAGAGTCCAAAAGAGGTGACACTGTAAGTTCTAAGCCAGTTTTAAGTGTGTATTTCAGAAGTCCTTGCAATTCTGCTACCTTGCTTAGATCCCTGAAACTGTCATGTGAATAAGTTTAGATTAGCCTGCTGCAGGATGCGAGAGACACAAGGCCCAACTGCTCCCAATGCCTCAGCCAAGAGCTCATCACTCTCATAAACACAGCCATCTAGGTAAACAGCTGAACAGAAATGCATGAGGGAGCCAGGCTGAGACCAAAACCATCCAGTTGATCCCAGCCTAATCTCCTGATCCACAAGATGGTGAGCTAAGTAAATGGTTGCTGTTTTAAGCCACTAAGCTTCGCTAAACCATAGAAGTTTCCTATATAACAAAAGACAACCGATAAATCTATCTAAGCTTTTCAGAGATTTATACTGGCCAGCTAGCTAGATTTAGTGATTTACTGAATGATAACAACCAGAGTAAAGTCAAAGAGCAATGAAGGAACACTGAGAGCAGCCAGGCCTCTGCCCATATATCCTAAACTAAGCTTTCCAGTTGATATAACTAACCCACAGAAACAGAGCCCTCAGTCAGCCTTCCACTCAGAAAGGAAACCTATCAGAAGTATATCTATTTATTCAGTAACAGAGAAAACTCACATCAGCTTCCAGTAATCATCAATGTATTCTTTATTCTTAAAAACAAGTTTGAAGAATTTCCAAACATATGAAGAAAACTGGGAGCAGGAAAGAAAAAAAAAAAAAGAAAAAGAAACTAATTTCAGAGATCATTCCCAAAGATTATTAGTCCCAAAGAATATTTAGGGAGAAGACAATGTAAAAAAATAAATTCTAACTAGTATCTTTACAGAATTTTAAGATAATGTATCTATAAAACATGAACAGGATGCCACAGAAACAAAGAACACTAAAGGAACAGAGTTCTTTGAAAATAAATATGACTACTGAAAACATTTTTCAAAAGAAGGACTGAAAAATAAAGACAAGGACATTTCCTAGAACATATAGCAAAAAGAGAGAAAAATATAGAAGAACAAATGATACAAGAAATGGAGAATAAATTAAGAGATTCAACATCAGAGGAAGAGAAGTTCCAGAGAAAGAAAAGCAAGAAAATATAGAGGAAATAACCAATATGAGACAGGAACCCATCAAAACCCTAGAGGAGAACACAGGCAGCAACCTCTTTGACCTTGGCCACAGCAGCTTCTTACTAGACACATCTCCAGAGGCAAGGAAAACAAAAGCAAAAACGAACGACCGGGACTTCATCAAGATAAAAAGCTTTTGCACAGCAAAGGAAACAATCAACAAAACTAAAAGACAACCGACAGAATGGGAGAAAATATTGGCAAATTACATATCAGATAAAGGGATAGTATCCAAAATCTATAAAGAACTTATCAAACTCAACACACAAAAAACAAAAAATCCAGTCAAGAAATGGGCAGAAGACATGAACAGACATTTCTCCAAAGAAGATATACAAATGGCTAACAGACAAAAAAATAAGATCAATATCTAGACATATTCTTTAGATTTCTGAGCATAAGTTGTATAAGGAAAATATCTTAAAACCTCCCAGAAAGGCAAGAAATAAACAGGCATCAAGCTTCTCAGTAACAGCACGAAATTCTAGAAGGCAATATGGCATGTCTTTAAAGTTCTGAAGGAAAAATGTTTCGAATTTAAAATTCTATATCCACAGGTCCATCAAGTACAAGGATCAAACAAAAACATTTTCAGACACTTAAGAACTATAAGATTTGTTATCAGGCAATGTTCTGAAGATACTGAAAATGTTATTCAGTAAAATGAAGTGAGAAACAAAGAAAACAATGGATCTAAGAAACAGAAGATCTACCCCAGGATCATAGCAAAAAAATAAAAAATCCAGAATGGTAAGTCTGCAGCCAACCTAGAGAGCAACAGATCCCAAGTGGGTCAGAAAGACAAAAGGCTCTAAAAGGACTGTCACCAAGAAGAAAGTAGATTTTATAACCCAGTATGACAGAGAAGGCAGATAATTTTCAGAATGAAGGTTTCTTATTTTGTTAATCAGAAGAAAAACAGTTAAGTCCTAACTCTAAAAGGAAAAACAATACATAAGAAAGTCAAGGTTCAATTATAAAGAAAATTAAAATATTACATAATTTTGAGAAATTTATGTAGAAGAAAAAATAATCCATTTTACCTTGATCCCAGAAGCATTATCCTCAGGGTGATGACTCTGGACATAGACAAAGAGATACAATCACAATATATACTATTTGGTTCTGTATCATATAATCATAATAAGTTAAACAGTTAAGTGCTGTTTATTGGTTTTAACTTTTAGAATAAATTGAAAGCATGGAAGAGTTAACTACAATTACAGAAAATTATTAACACTAATAGAAATTATTCATATAGTACTTATTATGTACCAAGTCCTATTTTAAGTGTTTTACATATATTAAATTATTTAAGCATAATAATCTTGTGAAATAAGTACATTATCCCCATTTTACAGCTCAGGAAAGTGAGGCACAAAGAGACTGAATAACTTGCCAGTTCACACAGCTAGGATGTTCTACAGCCTGGATTTGAAACCAGGCAGCCTGGCCCCAATGTTCACATTCTTAACCACAATGTTATACTGCCTTCTTTAAATAGAATATAGCTATTATCAACTGATAATTTTAAAGTAAATAGATATCTGACAGAAGTTAAAAGGCAGAAAGGAGGTAAAAGAGTTGAAGTAAAGGGTATAAGTGATAATATCTTCACTTTATAAAATGAGAAATAAGAGATACTGTTAATAGTTAATGGAACATGAAATAGAGGTTTAGGTATACTGGCATTGCAAAGATAGAGGAAATAACATCAATAATATATAACTACATAAAATTTGAAGTAGCACAAGAGTAGCATAAATGAACTAAATCCTCATCTTTAATGGCAGGTCACCAACAATTATTGCCTTAGATGATGAATCAAGAAACAGTGACGTTAAGTATATTATTTTAAATTATAGAGGCATTCATTAGAGGACAAAAATAATTAAAATCTGCTTGTAGCATTTCAGACAGGCTAGTATAGTACAGCATTTAAAAGTATAAGCTTGGGACGCCTGGCTTCAGGTCAGGTCATGATCCCAGGGTCCTGGGATCGAGTCCCACATTGGGCTTCCCTGCTCGGCAGGAAGTCTGCTTCTCCCCCTGCCTGCTGCTCCCCCCTGTGCTCACCCACGCTCGCTCGCTCTCTCTGACAAATAAATTAAATCTTTAAAAATTTTTAAAAATAAAAATAAATAATAAAAGTATAAACTCTGGGTGTGCCTGGGTGGCTCAGGCAGTTAAGCGTCTGCCTTCGGCTCAGGTCATGATCCCAGGGTCCTGGGATCGACCCCCATGGGGCTCCCTGCTCTGCGGACAGTCTGCCTCTCCCTCTCGCTCTGCCCTTGCTCGTGCTCACTTGTGTGTGCACACTCTCTCTCTCTCAAATATATAGAAAAATAAATAAAATCTTTTAAAAAAAAAGTATAAGCTCTGGATCAAAACTTCCTGGGATCAAAACCCAACTCCTCTACTTAGTATTAATAGCATTACTGAAGAAGGTTACTCACTGTTCTCGATTTCCTTATCTGAAAATGCCTAATTCATTTGGATATTATGGTTAAGAGTAAATACTTGTAGAGCATTAGAATTCTCTACAAAGGACACTCCTTCCCCAGATATTCCCTCCCCACTCAAGTCTTTATTCGAATGCCACCTTTACAGAAGGGCCTTCATGGCCACTTTATCCAAAATGTCAATGTAGAATTCTCTACATAGCAGCATAGCTGCTACATAGGTAGCAGCTATGAATTAGAAGAACACAACACATGAACAAACAAAGATGCTCACACAAGTTTACATTTAGTTCCCAATTACTTAGCCAAGTATCCAAAATCTCATCAGTAGTGAGACGGACACTCAGAGCAGGAATAGATGTAGAATATCTCAGCACTGCTTCCACTGGCCTCTAGAGTCCTGCACTACCAGCAGGAGGGCAAGGTAGGGTCTAGCAATATTTGACAAGCCGAATTGTTATGGTTCTACTTCTCTTTTAAATTCAGGGCTTACATCATTTTGGGAAGAACCACCCCTAACAAGCCATATCCTTTAATGGGAAGAAATTACAAACATCTGGGTTCCTGCTGGTTCTTGAGCCAAACCCAGTGCCAATAAGGCCGCAACTTTAAGAGGAGAAAACAATCAATATTCAGATGTTCCCAAACATCCTTGCTTCCTCCAAGTTTCTAGTGTTTGGAAAAACTGTTTCTCCACAGATTGCCTCTGAGGAATAGAACTGGGGTTCTAATCTCTGTAGAAAACATTGAAAATCATGGCCCCTGTGATATATCTCATTAGCTCACTAGGAGAAAAGGACACATATAAAATTATGACGAACTTTACAACACAGACAAGATAAAGGGAATGGAATAAAAGATACAGAATTTTGCAAAATAAAACTGAGTAAAGAGAAGTCAATGCATTCTAAGTAAAAGGAATGAGCAAAAACAGGAAAGCAACAATGCAAAAGGAGAGCTTAGGCAACACAGGTACTTCAATTTGACTGAAAGAAAAGATTTATATGAAACTACACTGTGAAAGGCCATGGAGAACCTGCAGCCTTTGGGGGTAGGCAACAAGCAGAGTTATGAAGGAGTAAGGTATTTCAAAATGTTTAATATTTCTTTCTACACTTACCTCTCTAGATGACTCAAATGGTCTCATAATCTTAAATATTATCTCTACGCTGATGACTTCCAGACCTCCCTCCTGAACTTCAGTCTAGTATACCCACATGAACCTAGACAGTCTTGCTCAGCATGGATGTCAAGCAGGCATCACAAACTTAGCACATGCCAAGCTTAACTCCCGAAAATCCCCTGCCAAACCTGCTCCTCTCAGAGCCACCTACATTCCCAATTAATGGCAATTCCATCCTTTAGCTGCTCAGGCCAAAGACCTTCAAATGATCCTTGACTCTTCTTTTCCTTTCATACTTCACATCCAATCCATCAGAAAATTATGTTGGCTCTACTTCAAATATTCCCAAACCAGAATACCTCTCACTACTCCCACGCTATTACACAGGTCTGGACCACCGTTATCTCTGACCAGGATTGATGTCAAAGATCCTAACTGATCTCCCTATTTCCCCTTGCTCCTCAATATGGGTACCACAATGATTCTGTTAACATGTAAGTCAGATCATTGCACTTGTATGTTTCATTAAGAGTAAAACCACACTCCTAATTGTGACCTACAGTCTGTGTCTTCCCACTGAAATCTCTCTCCCCTTGATTCCTACTACTAATCTTCCACTCTGCTCCTCCCCAGTATTCAAACATGCCAGGCACACCTGTACCTTGAGGTCCTTTGCACCTGCTGTTCCCTTTGCCTGGAACACTCCTTCCCCAGATATTCCCTCCCCACTCAAGTCTTTATTCGAATGCCACCTTTACAGAAGGGCCTTCATGGCCACTTTATCCAAAATGTCAACCTTTCACCCTTGATACTCCCTTCATACTCCAACATTTTTTTTTCTCCTTTGCAGTTATCACCATTTAACACACTATGTATTTTGCTTACTTGTCATTCTTCTATCCTTACTAGACCAGGAGTCATACATATCTGTTTGTTTGTTGATTACTCTATCCTTAGCACCTAAAAGAGTCCTTGACACATAGTAAGCACTCAATAAATATTTGTTAAATGAATAAAAGAACATGACAATACTGCATAAAATACATTATAAGGAAAAGAAGTTATAGTTAGAATACCATATTCTCAAAAACATTTGTTGACTACCAACCATGATGCAAGTCTTTTGTGGGATACAAAGATGAAAAAGACAATGATGAGAAAGAGACACAATCAACTATAATCCAAAATAGCTTTTCACAACTTCCATGTGAAACTTACAGATTAAGTGGTACACTGACATGGATGGAAGTGGAGGGGATTATGCTAAGTGAAGTAAGTCAAGCAGAGAAAGACCAGTATCATATGATTTCACTCATATGTGGAACATAAGCAATAGCACAGAGGACCATAGAGGAAGGGAGGGAAATCTGAAGGGGGAGAAATCAGAGAGGGAGATGAACCATGAGAGACTATGGATCCGGGGAAACAAACTGAGGGTTTCACAGGGGAGGTGGGTGAGGGGATGCGGTAACAGGGTGATGGGTACTAAGGAGGGCACATGTTGTGATGAGCACTGGGTGTTATACACAACTAAAGAATCACTGAACACTACATCAAAAACTAATGATGTACTATACAGTGGCTAACTGAACATAATTTAATAAAGATACTATTAACAATGAAAAAAAGAAAGTGGTATAAAAACTCAAGAGAAAATTCTATTGCTAGGAAACTACTGCACTAACACAGGCATCAGGTGACCAGGCACTATACTAGATAGAGTGCAGTAACAATGGAAAAGAATCAGACGTGATAATGATCATAACAACGGACAGAAATAGTAGGATTTGGTGACTAGCTGAATAGGGAAAGACATGACCACTGAGTGTCAAGCTTAGATAATAAAAAGAACAGAGGTGCCATTTAGAAATAAAGAAGGAAGGAAGGAAGGAAGGAAGGAAGGAAGGAAGGAAGGAAGGAAGAAAGAAAGAGAAAGAAAAAAAGAAAGAAAGAAAGAAAGAAAGAAAGAAAGAAAGAAAGAAAGAAAGAGAAAGAAAGAAAGAAAGAAAAAGAAAGAAAAAAGAAAGAAAGAAAGAAAAGGAGGGAAGGGGGAGAAAAGGAGGGGGAGAGAAAGGAAAGGAAAGGAAAGAAAAAGAGAAAAAAGAAAAGAGGAGGTTTAAAGTGGATGGAAAAATGGTTAAGTCCAACAGTAGACACATTTTGTTTGAGGTAATAGCAGACCATACAAGAGATAATTTCAGGACACAATTCTAGATTCAGAGCTGTAACTCAGGGTTAAGAAATACAGACTTAAAAGTTATTTTCCCACAGAGAGATAACTGAACTGAAAAAGGTAAGATTTCTAAGCAAAAGACTAAAGGCAAAAGCCATGGGAAATAGGCAAACTTACAGACAGGGGGAGGAAGAGGTACAAATGAACATGACAGAAAAAAATTGAGAGGAAGAAATAAAACCAGGACATCTCACTATATATATATATATATATATATATATATATATATATGCCACAGCTATAAAAATTTATCCTGGCTTT